CAAATGGGTGAATCTTGTGCATGTGCCAGGGGGCCCCATCTGTTACTCGTAGGTTCCCCACTCGCCTGACTTGGAGCTTTTCACCCTTTACAGTCCTTGTTCAGCTTGTGATCGGGACCACACGCCTGCCACTTCTTGGCTGTAGTCTGTAGGCTCATAGTTGATACAGATCTTTGTGTTGGGGTCAGAGGAGCCCCAGGCTGCAGTGGCAGCTCTTCTCTTCTGCCCTGTGCTCTGCAGCGGGTTCAGAGAGGGTTGCCCCTCACCTGGCAGAAGGAGCCTGCCTGGTGGCTCCCGGGTCGGTGCTGCAGTAGCCTTGGCAGACTTTTGTACCTGTTAGTTTCTTTGGTTGTTGAGATTGGCATATGTCTTCCAAAGTGTTCCCCCTCTGGCCCAGTGAACACACATTAAACCTCCTAATGAGCCTTTGGAATTGTATTTTGTCTTACAAACTCTTGCTGCAAGTGGCTTTAACGAACCCCTAAGCTAGCAGGCAGCAGGGATGAGTCAGGGGTAGGAGAAGAGTGTGAGCCCTTCTATGCAGATTATCTACCCCAGACTAGAACAAGCTGCTATTGGGCTTTATCTGTGGTTTCTAGAGATAGCACTACTATTAATGCCCATGAAGGCCCTTCTGACACCGTATCACTTGAATGGTTTTGTTCCTCCAGACTGGCATTAAAGGACATTCCCACTGAGGCCGTGGGGGTGTTGTGCGCGTACAATGCCATCTCCTCTGCATGGAGTGCTCCATTCAGCACCTTTCACAAGCATTATGTTAATTAATGTAACGTTTGTTAGTGATTTCTGTGGCAGTGTTCACAAGCGAGCTGGTGGATGCTTGTTCCTCTGGGTGGGTGGAAGTAGGAACAGAGCAGCCTTGTTGCCTACATGGATGTCTCCATTCTTCTCAGGCACAAAAGAGTAAATACACTGTGGCTTGGGACGGGGTGGTACAGGCACTCCTTCAGCTCAAGAAGAGATGAACCTTTGTATTGCTACCATGAGCTGCTGCTTCTGGTGTGCTGCTGTTCTCTCACAGATGAAACTCCAGGCAGAGACCCTGCCACTTGCTGTCACAAGAGCTGCCATGAAGTCCTTCAGTTAGAAATCCCCCTAGACATGCATCCCTGTGTTCTGCCTGAGGTCCCAGTTCTTCCCACTGGTCCCAGTGGAGGGTTCCTCTTTCCTGTTCAGAATGGCCATGGGCTCTCACTGGGCAGTGTAAGAGCTGGTGTGGATCCCAGAGCTGTGTCCAATAGACACACCTTCCCTTTTGGCCATCAGTGAAGTGACCTTGCCTCTCCTGAGCGAGGTCTATCTCCACTCCAAGCCAGTTTTGCTGCAGGATCAGGGGGGCTTTTCATAGCACACAGGGCCTTAGATTTGTGGAGACAGGTAGAATCTCAGACATGGAGCCCTGCTTAGAAGTCATTGCTACCATTTCTGGGTGCTTTCAGAAGGGTTTCTTTTGAGGGTTTCTTGGTTTCTACTTTAAAACTCCCTCAGAGAGAGTACAATGAGGCTGAAACCAGTAATTTAGAGAGGGGAGTGTCAGCAAGAGTCAAAAGTGACAGAGTGGGTTTTGATTCCTTTTCCCTTTGAAGCTGCTTCCCCTTTGATTACATCCCTCACATTATAATGTGTAGATCTGGAAAGGTGATTATTTTTTAACATCTCTCAAAATAAGCAGCATGTCAAGCAGATATCACCACCTTTATAAATGGGTGGATATATATTGCAACAAACATGCTAGGGTATGTATAGCACCGTCTTTTGACAGCTGAGTATAATCGGAGCCATTGGACATTGTATCACGAGCTCTGTCATGGTCTGATGAAGCAAAGTCTGAGCAGGAAGGAATGAAGATGCTCCTGTAGCGAAGAAGTAACGTGCCAGTGTGCAAAGGGGTGTCAGAGTCCTTCTTAGATGTCCTCACTGTCCTGGCACATGACAGAGACACAGCAGTGGAATCCTGACGCCTGGGTTTGCTCTCTGCATGGTTGTGAAGAGGAAGGAGGTTCTTTTTTATCATTCTCATGAGATGGCTGAAGCCGACATGGTAGCTCTTGGTATTGCGATAGACTCTGTTAGCTGCAGGAAAAAAAGTCAGCCATGCATTTTGCAATTGCTTCAAAGCTGGTGCAGAAGAAGGAAAACGTCAACAAGACCCTTGTACAAAACACACAGCCTGCGGTTCTTCAGATACAGTGTGTTTAGGGGAATATTTAAAACAAATGTTTAAAATGACACAAAGACAAACCAGCGGGGAAGCAAGGTTTGCCCTCCACTTTGTCAAATACAGGGGAGGAAAGCTAAGTAACTCCAAGCTATGCTTTAGCGAAGATCCGAGCATGTTCCTAATCCCCGATGCATTTCAGGTATTTAAAGGCCTTACTTGCTAAAAACATAAAAGGCTCTGTAAATTCAAGCAATATTTTTCACTTCAATTAATCATCCCAGAAATTTGTAACTTTATTGTCCCTTTGTCTCTGTTTAGTTTGAGCAAATCCAACATTTCTCATTGTCTCTCTGCAGATTATGAAAGGCTTTGTGGATTATATCATCAAATTAAATCAAGCCTGTTAGTGTTGCTCTCAGAATATCACAGTAATGGGCTGTGCCTCAGGCAGCATTGCCCTTCCTTCTCTTTTTAAAATGTTTTGCCTGTGTCCGTGTAGCTCTGAGCTGATGTGTCTCTCCTTGCTAATAGGGAAGTGTATAAAAATCACATAATCATTAATATTGAGGAATCGTTAAGGTTGATAAAAGCAACTCTGACTGCGATGATGTTGTTTTTCATGGTCACTGCTTTTGGAAAACACGCCATACAAACATCAGCTCGTTGTTTTTTAGAATCCACCAGTTGATCTAGTGGCTGTTTGACTCCATCTGTTGCACTCTCGGAGATAGCTCCAGTTAGATGATCATTTCTCAAGCCTGCAGGAATAAATGGATTTCTAGAGGTTGTCTCTACTGCCTTCATCCCTTTTCCACAGCCCCTGTTTTTGATGCAGACAGCATCCGAAAGCCAGCAATCTGTAGTTGAGCAGTAAAGTCTTGGTTGAGTTTTTATTAAAGCAATGATGTGCTGACTGGCTGAAAAGTGTCAAAACTGCAATCTTGTAACATCAACAAAATAAGGCAGGATGCGTTTCTTACGGGAGAGGAATGCTGAAAGCATAAATGAGCCCTGCATGAAATTGGTGGATCTGAGCACTTCTCTGGGGAAAGGGTATGATGTACATCAGACACGGTCGCTTTTTTCCCCTAATAAGAAAAGACCAAAGTCTTCAGGTTCATGACACAAGACTCACCTTTGCCTTCTTCTCCCCTCTGCAGTAGTTCCTCGACGGTGCATCCAGCTGGGTTTTCCTCTCTTAAGCAGAACTAGAATTGAAGTAACACTGAAGGTATTACAAAAGTGTCAAGCCAATCTGAGCATGTGATGAAAGGCTGGGAGAACTGGGGGAATTTGGGGTAGTATTTTAAAGTCTGTTACTGAGAAGAAGGAACTGACCTGAGCCAAATAGAAATATGTCTCGGGAAAACCCCTGGGCATAGGCAGTGTATGTGAGTCTTTGTGGTTACACTGGAAAGGCAGATGATAGGGACAGAGCCGATACAAGCAGTTTCTCCTGCAGAAATGAAACCTGAACCTCATCCAAGCATCTTTGCTGCCATTTGCTGCCAGAGACTCCAAGAGGTCTGACTGTCAGGGGGTGGGTAGGAACGTGGCTGCAACTGAGGAGTGTGTGCGTGCGGGCCTGCACATGCAGCTTGCTGACGGCAATATAGAGGCAGCTTCACGCCCGTGTCCCTGGTGTGTTACATCCGCAGAGAGATGACTGATGATGATTCCAAACTGGAATCCTCCACGTGAGGATTTGTGTTTGCTGCGTTACCCAGGAAAGTGATGGCCTTTGTAATTAAAGCACAAAGGGTTTTGAGTCACAATGTGCTTCATACCCTCCGCTTTCCCGTGCTAGGAATAATTTTAGGGAACCCTAACAGAAATAAAACTCTAGCACTGAGATGTTCCAAACTCAGAGTTGTTAACATCTCTAGTCTCATTTGATCTCAACTGCTACAAGATTGTCTGCCTACGCACCCTGTGTAGTTTTCTTGGCATGGCATGCCACGTCATTCTGTCTCACTGGAAGTTCTCCCATAGTCCATTTGCGTAAGACAACGCTTAGCATGCTTTTTTTTTTACGTGAATGACATGGTTGATCCAAGTACTTGGTTGGCATTTGCTTCATCTGCATGTGTCCCATTGCCGTCTGCTGGAGAATGGTGAGCATGCTCACAGGGACAGTTCTGTTAGCCAAAGGAAGGGAGCTGTCCCTAAAGTCACCCACTCTCTGTTCAAGATTAATTGAGATTAGTTTTTGGTCTCTCTGCTGCCACATGAGGCTGTGTTTTGTATATATGCTGGTAAGTGGGAAACCCTGGGTCATGGCACGGTGCAAAAGTACTTTGTGCCCCAGATAACGACACTGCACCATGGACAGAATGATCAAAGTCCTGTCTTGGATGCTCTTGCACAATAAAAATAAAATTCTCTTCCCTCACTTAGAAGAGGGTTATGCTTGTAACTGAGTTAGAAAGAGGCTGAATTTAGCTTTACAGCTGAACAAAGATTAAGGGTCGAATTGCCTAACCACTTTGGCCAAGACAAGAACTGGAAAACAAGGCTAAGGCTTGCAGTCATGACTGGTGGCTTAAAGTGTGGACCTTGAGTTGTTTTGCAGGTATTTTTTTCAGAAGTGTCAGGCCTTTGAAAAGTGGGCCTCTCCAAAACAACCCATTTTGAGTAGCAGAGCTCACTACTCCTGTTAGAAGATCTCAGCCTAGACCATGGCCAGTGTGGATCCCATCCTGACATCCCCAGTGTTGGGACTGGAAGCTGCTGCCTGTCCCAGCTCCTGCGGATTGATTTTGAGCTAAAGACGACTGCATGAATGGGGCTTCATCGCACTGTTCTGTTTGCAATGCAGGAGGCCTTCGAGGAGCTACGGTAGTAGATGCCTTAGATACTCTGTATATCATGGAACTCGAGGAGGAATTCCAAGAAGCAAAGAAGTGGGTGGAGAAGAGCTTTGACTTGAATGTGGTGAGTCAGTCACTGGGAATGCCTGTCTGTGTCACAGAAACACTGTGTGTTTGGCCAGTTCTGATCACAGTCTTCTCTAAGAATCATTTGGGGAGGGGACCTATGAAGTCTGTGGGGGAAGAAACCACCCAACTCTGATTTGTTTTTTTAAGGCCAAAGGGACTACTGTGATGATTCATCTCATCTTCTGCCTATACATGGCACAGGGTTCCAGCCAGGGGCCACCAGATCAGACTCACAGTGTCTGGCTAAAAATGAGATTCAGTGTTTAATGTTCTTTGTGTTTTGGTCTGTGTTATAAAAACAGCTGTAATTGTTAGATACTCCAAGGAAGTTTTACTCATCAAAGAACAAGTTCGGTTTCATCTCAGTTAAATGTCTGCCTGTGATAAGACAATTTTTCTTTTTACACGCTATAGATTAAGATTGAAAACGCTGATCTCCTTGACCGGGCCCTTTGTTGGTGTGTCACTGCTGGGACTTGTGCAGTGGGAGCGTGGCACCTTGGCAGCAAAGTGGGAGCACATAGTGAACCTCGATTAGAAAGGAAGGGTATCATCTATAAAAATGGCCAGGGATACGCTCTCTCTGTGGCCCCTGAAGTTTTCCTAGCCACTGCTTCTTAGAGCTAGTGTTAGACTTGCTGGGACTCTGGGTGCAACACATGCCTTGCAGTGCTATCAAATGAAGGATGCTGTCCTTTATCTCACTTTGTGGCCAGGGCCCCTTGCTATAGCTCTGACTATTGGTCTCCAAGCCAGCTCTTGTATTTCTCGTGGGAGAGCTGATGGGATCTCATCAGTGGCGTACAGAGAATGTTAAAACCAGAGTGCAGTTCAAACTTTTATTTTTTTAATGCCAGCCTAGTTGTCTGTTGTGAAAAATGGTTCTCCCCTTGGGAACAATGCATGCAGCTGCCTTTATAGAAAAGCATAATTTGGGAGGGCACGACTGGCATTCATATATTCATAAAAGGAAGACCACATCTGATAAATTTGGTGAATGCTCTCAGTACATTACTGAATCGATAAACAAGGGACAAAATCAACTGGGAGATAATTTATCTGGATTTCATAAAAGCTTTTAATCTTGGCCTGCAGAATAGATTGATCTGCAAAGACAAGAATGAATGCTATGGATTGATTGGTGGAGTCAGAAAGCACAACAGAGGGAGAGAAGGAGGGAAATTAATTAAAAATTGGCTCTGTACAAGGAGCTCTAATAGTCCAGAAAAGTGAGGCAGGGATTCCAAGGCCCACAAGCTCAGTTTGAAACTGGGTGCCGTGATCTGTCTCATGCAATTTCAGTCATCATCTCAAGAAAGCACTTGCCCTGATTTGTAACCTGCAGGTATTTGGAAAGGGCAGGCTAGTGCAGAGGTTCAAGTGCCCCTTTGCTCACTGAAAGTGCTGTGTTGGTGGAAGATCTTTCTGGTTTTTGGCTTTATGCATTTGCATGAGAGTAGGAATCGTTTATCATGCAGATTCAACGGCCAGGAGCATGCATTTTTTAAAGGCACATTTTGAATGCAATCGTTTTGACATTTGCTGATCATCAGCTGAGTAGGTAGAGCAAAACTTGTTCCAGGTGAGTGGGTTCTTGAGCAATTCAGTGAACCATATCCGTCTGTGTCTGCTGTCTGTGGTGGTGGGGCACATGGACATCATGCAGTTTGCCTCTCCATAAGCATGCCCGTGACAGGCACCCTGTGGGCTGTGGTCCTCTCTGAGCCTGCAGACTGGGGTGAGTCTTTGAATGACAGAAAATATCTACCTAATGCAGGAGGTGCATTACATCTATCTAATGCAGTGCCCTGTTCACAAGAAAATGGAGAAAGTAATTTTTCCATGTCGCCGTACAACTTTCTTTTTAAATAAAACATTTCAAGGGGCAAATTTTTGCCCTAAACTAACTCACAGCTTTTTGCAAGGCATAACCCAAGACAGGGTTGGATGGATGGACAATACATCTGCCCTAACTGATTTACATATTGTCAGCTGGTGATAAATGGGCAGTTTGGGTGTTTCTCTTCCCTTCAGGCTCCACCTGTCACTGTAGACCAAATAAGGTGCTGTGAGATCTTAGACAAAAAGCTGTGTTACACTGTGGGTGAGGACTGGGAGACCTAAGTATCTGCCTACAATCTGTTCCCCTTAGCTGCCATTTGTGCGTGCAGACTTTACAGTCAAGTATATCATTATGTATTTTCAGAACGGAGAAGCATCCTTGTTTGAGGTGAATATCCGCTATATTGGAGGACTGTTGGCCGCATACTACTTAACTGGAGAAGAGGTTTGTTTCAGCAGCTCTGCATGTCTCACACAGTCACCAATAATGAACTGAAAGGGTTCTCCAGCAGCTTTTCTCTGAGCATCAGATAATCCCTCCATAACAACAGGCTAAACCTATCGTTTTTATGAATATCGAAATGCCACTAATGTTCTTTTAATTAAGTCTCGCATAATTACCTTGCACACACTGTGCATGGCTCATTTGCAAAGATCTTTTCTCCTGTGGGCAATTCTAGCAAGACATGTTTTCGGTTGGACACATTGCTCCCCAGTGAAATGCCATTTGCAGTGATCTTTGTCTTTGTACTTGGTCCTTTGTATTCTAAACATAGGCAATATTTCATCAAACATCATTGCAGATTCTGCCTCGGACTAAGGAGGGCAACTGATTAGTGGCAGGTGCTCCAAACTCTACCTGGACAGTCTCTCTGTAGCAGTAGTTTCTAAGATAAAGTACCATGGGGTACAGGGAAGGAGGGTGGCAAACTGCCAGGGCAGGGTACCTGTATCCTGCCAACTCATGTGACAAAGCGATACAGCTCCACAAAATGTCCCCTTGCCCAGCAGGGGACAGCCAG